TGTTATAGCTCCCTCTACCTCCCTCTCAAAGCCATAGCATCAGTGAAGGGTAAGGCTCAGAGATTTTATCAGGAGGGTTAGAATTGCACCCGTCGTAGACGCTCTATTTGCTTCGTTCTACAGTCCTCTAAATTCAGGTGCTGCACACCTCTCCTCCACATTATTTGAAGCTCATGTGTATCTTAGCTTTGTGACGCTTATATTTGATTGTTTTGGATCAGGAGACACAAATATGGCGATAATGAATAGATTAGCGCAGCTGTAAAGTTCTTTGACATTCAGGAGGATTATCCACGTCAAGCTCCTTTGTGGTTCAGCGAGTCAGACGATGCAGTAATTTGTTCCGCATTAGAAAGACTGTCCTCAGGAGCCGACCACCAGAATTGCTTACTTGCACAGGTTTATCTCATATTCTATTTGTTTCACCATAGCCACGATGCGCTGATGCGTGATTCATTCGTGGAACTGAACATTGGCAACAAAGGCTGCCTTCTGGGAATGCTTTTTCAAGAATGTTCTCTTTCCGCTCTGAGATGAGAGGTTCTCGTGCGCAATTTCGGAGAAACTTTTCTGTAATGCCAGCAAATATTAGGTTGGAAAGAAAGTTCTGCAACACTCTTTCTAAAATTTTCTTTTTTTTTCTGAAAAATTCATAGGTAACATTTATGACTAACAAATGGTAGAGCATTCTCGAGGCTTCAATCCACGAGGTGGATATAAGTGCTGCAGTCAGTAGTTATCCAAGAAAATTCAAAAAACCTCGACCACTAGTAAATCCGTACTCCGAGTCACTGTCTAGTACAAATGTCTCCAAAACTATGGATTCGTGTCAACGACTGACACTATCTGCAATAGCTTCAATAGGCATGCCGTTCACCGCTACAGCGTGTTTCACCTTTACCAGCGCTTCGATCTTTTGATATTTTTATAAGAAGCCAGCAGCGTCCCTCACACTCCATTACAGGTAGGGCTCTTACAGAAGCTCCACTACAATTCTTCGTTATGGGCACCATTGTGTAGGTAGAGGCCTAGGCTGTGGAATACCAGAAGCTGGCCGAGGCAGCTCGTCAAGAGCCCTCGTACCGCGACAATATTCATTTCTTTCATGACATTGCGAATCACCATGATCCGAAATGAGCCCGGTAAGAAATTCTGGAGCTGCGGCAAGATTTCTTACCTCTCTTAGCGTATTCCCCTGGTCGAGCTGTAAATGACTGCTACCTATCCTGGACCTTAAATCATCATCTTGATGACGAAATAATTAGACGATCAACTCCAACTCGAAAGTGAGGTCGCCTCCTTCTTCGACTCGCAGCATCAAGAAATTTTCTGAGCGATGGGAGACAAGTGGTGGACACTCATGGTAGATATAAGACCGGTCAGGAGTTGTAACCAAAAAAGATAAAATTAAAATCAAAAATTTGAAAAAGTGTTGCAGGACTTTCTTTCCAACCTAATAGTACATGCGTCGTAAATAACTACTATTTCCATAAATGCTGCATTTTTCGAGTCTTCTGCTCTATTCATATTTCAGATACACAAATTGGTCTCTGAACTTTGTCGTCAATATAACGTCACAATACCATCAGAATTAACGCGTTTGGCTCCTCCCGACGAAGACGATTTGAAAGACGAAGGACAAGGCAGCGATATGGAATCGGAGGATGAAGAAGGCGAGGAATTAGTTGAGGTATGTCTACGGAAATGAATGTTGCTAGCATTATTGTGGAGTTTAATATTTTCACATCAATTCGCAGATTGCCGAAGTTGACATGACAGAGGAGGAGCCCCATGGCAGCACGGACGACGATGTTTCGCCAGAAGGAAAGGAAATGCTTGAAAAAATCACTAGATCGACTCGTCAACAGCATCTGAATGGAAATGTGCGGATATGTTCAACTCCTGAGTTGTTTGAAAAGTTTGAAAGTATAGGTTCGAAAATCGATAGGTTTACTGTGTAATCTCGAATATACGTGGTGGGCAGGCTGCCGAAATTGTGCGCGCATGCAAAACAACTTCGATTTGGCCTCGAGACTCTGGAGCCTTCTTGAACGAGCTGGGTTACTTCCACCCCTGTAGCCATCGAGACAGCTGATTTTTGGATGTTTCCTAGATTGTAGTCGCTATATTAACAATCAGAATCCCCTCAACGAATGTGTCTCTGATGTGCTGGGATCTGAATCGTGGAGCACCCGCTTAGGAATCTGCGCGCAGAAGGATCTGAGCAGAATTCAAAGACACCTGCTTGTGCGCCGAGATGAGTGCTTGGCGCATGCTTAAATAGATTCAAGGCTCCGAATCACAACTGGTTGAGGTGAACTCGAATGTAAATATTTCTTCCTTATATGGATAGTGGATTGTTGTCAATTATCCAGACTCGGGTTTTTCTGAGTTGCAGTAGTTGCTACCCTGTGCGTTACTTATTTCTGAGTTACTGTGCTTCATTTTCTATTGGAAGGATTAGGAGCATTTCAATTCTAGATTCAAGGATCTGTAACGGCTACCGATCGTTTGATGAAAGAAATGAGGGATATCTACAAGAGCGAACATTTCAAGAACGGTTTGACTTTTCAAATATGCCTATTTGATCTTTTTGATTCACATTATTTCTCGTTCCATAATGGGGTTGATTTTTCCATCCACATCGTTCTCATGCAAATACTGGTGAAGTAATCACAACCTTCTGACTATTAGCTTTCGCGCACATAGACTATAACCTCTTAGCGTTGCGTTACAGGAGTCGGTTTGTCATCCTTCTGTTCTTTCGCATTTTGACAGAAAAGCTGGTCTCTAAAGAAGCGTTCAAAGAGATTGCTTTCTCAATCGTGATGAGATCGGCTTGTATTCTCAAATCCACAGCTACGATACAAGTGTTTGGGATAGGAGAAATCAAATAAGTTCTCTCATGTTTCTAGACATCACTGCTTCTTTGGTACTAGCAACAAATGGCACTTGATTGATTGAGTAGTCATGTTGTTGTTATTGGAGTTGTCTCATAATTCCTGTCTCATTTCTATTCAATTTCAAATTTCTTCCGTCTAAGACCGTTTCATTGCGAAATACGTTAGTATGTTGAAGTATGCTTCAAGAGCCTTAACAGCATGGTTTCGGAAGCGCAAGCCCTTAACGGGTTAATCAACTAGGAATAAAAATAGGTCAGTGACTGCTATAATGAATGATTATGCTTTACGATCCTCAAATGAACTCTGTAGCAAGGAGGACAACAGAGAAGATCAGCGCTGTGTTTGACCAGTCTCTGCTACTGATAGGGTACTGAGCTAGTGGTCCAATCGCAACGGCAAAGACGAAACGAGCTATGAACTTCAACCTCATACTGGGCCTGCGGTCATTTTTGATGAGCGCCCCTTGCACCCTAAATTGGGAGTGCCTCCGACGTTGCTACCAGGGTATTGTAGCAGATACCTGAGCGCAGCCGATGCACCAGCACACGCCATCAGTATGGCAAGGACTGCTGCAGAATGAAGTTTTGATGGAAACCTTATGGTCCGGCCGACCATGAGCGGGAAGCACGCCTGACCATCTGGGGAAAATCCATTCTGGGACGGCAAAAGCAGAGCCTTCCCTAATCGGTCACCAGTGGAAGTAAGCCATTAGTCCATTGCGACAAAAACACGGGGCCAGGGTCAACCGTCCGTTGGACAAAGTCCAACGGGGGGTCGTATTTGGCCGACGCTAGAGGGGGGTCGTATTCGCAGGAGTCAACGTTGCAGTACGAAGAGGTTTTTGGGTGTAGATGACGAGAGGTGGTTTTCGCTATAAGGAACCTAATGTGTGTTGTGATGAAGCTCGCAGCTGTTGGCTCTTGCTGGGACCATCGAACGATTAGAATCAAGACGTTAGTTCTCGCGGCAGTAGGTGAGAGGTAAAACTTTTGAGTGCTTCTTCAACTATTGAGCACAAACGAGTGCATGGCGCACATCAGAGCAGAAGAGTCTACTGCGAAAGTATCCATATTTGACTGCTCACGTACACAAATATAATTCTAGAGGTGAACCAATGCCTTCAAACTGGACCTAAGTTAATAAAAGAGTGACCACTATGGTAGATTGACTGCTAAAGGGCTACAAGAAATTTGGA